TTTCCCTTTCCTTAAAACGTATTGCTGCACTGACTCAAATACTGCGTTACTTGTTTCTAAGGCAACTGCGTCGTGCGTGTGAAGGCTGAGATGGTGGGATTACACTATAACCATATTTAAAGACAATTGAATTCTGAAATTACATTTAAAGGTGTACTTAAGTACTACTTAAATTGGTCAAAAAAGCAGTCTAAAGTAAATATTACTGCATTTATTACATTTTAAACTACAATACCTTTTCATTTAATTGCAATTAATATGCAGTTAAGAGTCCAAAAACATTACATTCAGTTCACACTTAAGTATATTCTTTTCAATTGTATTTTTACCATAAGTACGCTTTTTTTCTTCATATAATGGACTTCATTGGGAACCAAACGGTTCAAGGTCCAAATGAGAGTTTCAGTGCAGCTTCAAAGGGCTTTAAACGACACCAGACGATGAATGATGACACTTGGACCCTTCGAGTCATGACTTGAAAAAAAGATTTGTTCATTTTGATGAACAAGTTCAAACAGGAGAGTCACCAAACAGAGCAAGGCGAGCATTTGTGCTTATGAAACTTAGACTTTTTTATTTATTTTTTAAATGAGCGATCGACCCTTATTCATCGTCTGGAATCGTTTAAAACCCTCTGAAGCTGCACTGAAACTCTCATTTGGACCTTGAAATGTTTGGTTCCCATTGAAGTCCATTATATGGAGAAAATCCTGGAATGTTTTCATCAAAAACTTAATTTGTTTTCTTGAAGAAAGGAAGACATCTTGGATGACATGGGGGTGAATAAATTATCAGCAAAAGTTTTTTGTTTTTTTTTAAAGTGATCTCTGTACACCATGTCATGCACACATGAAGTCAAAATGAGTGTTATTTCTCTTCTAGGAGAAGAAACAATGCACAAATCCACAGTGCAAACAGCAAAATAGCCATGCATTTTACACAAATTACACTAAATATGAACCTTACGGTGTATAATAATAACGTACATGCTAAAGTGAGTTCTGTCTCATGGTTTGAAAGGATCTAGGCTTTTAAAAGGGAACAAGTTCAAAGGGAATTTTTCTTGGGAATGTGAAATGTAACTCCTTAGCTCTTATCGTTCCGTTCATACTCACATTTACTCACATTTTCCAATGGTTTCTAGTGGTAGAGTGCGTGTTTCCCTTCCTCTCTGCTCGCAGAACAATGCAACATTAACTTGAGAGAGGCACTTTGGGATGTGGGCTCACCAAGGTGACTGCCTGACTTCCTCTAACATGTTTCCATCTACTGTTTCTTCCATTACAGCTGCTTTTACAGAATGTTGTTTTCACAAGATCAGCGACCTTCTGACCTTTGGGTCTTTAGTACTTAGATTAGATGCCCTTCTTATATTCTAGTCCATACTTTTGATTGTGTAATAAAAATGTCTTGATACTTGAGACTTTTCAGTACTGTTTGTGTTAGCCTGCAAGCATTAGAATCTAGCAAAGTTCGTTACCTTCAAATTCTTTAGGGTAGTGTGTTGTTCGTCATACACCATGAGAAAGGTATTGTGCTTGAGGGGACCTGGATTTAAATCTGGCCTGTGACATGACCTCTTCTCTCTTCATTTTCCTGTCAGATCTCCACTGTTTTATCTGATTCATGCTAAAAGACCATAAATAAACTGACAGGCTTTACTTAGACCCCTTAGAACCCCAGGCTTTACTTCCCAATAAATAGTGACAAGCACAGTTTTCTAAACATTGCTGATGTAGGGTAGCGCGGGACACAACTTAACACAGAGCTAGTTGTAACACACTTGTTTTAAATACTTAAACACATGCTAGCATGCCGAAACGTGGTATATTTGGTACGTGGTATATATATAGTTGCGTCAAAATTACGAAATCTTTGTAAGATATCACTGAACATTTATTTAACCATAGCAAAAAAGGTATAGCGGAGGATTTTCTTTTTCCGGGTGAGTAGTCTATACTATTGGTCCACCTAAGTGTCAATCATTCTGGTGATATGTTTCTGGTGATACGTAAGGCCGTCGTACGTGCTCATCCTTATGTAGTTTTCACTTTCAGGTGTATTATGTCGGAGTTGCGGTTTCAGCCATTCCTTTGAAAATGGCTGAGGGTCAAAAGAGAAAAAATGTTTACGAAGTGTATGATAAGAAGAGAAAGGCCACAGAATATAGAAACAAGACCAGAGAGATTTTGGGTGAATATCACATGCTGGCGTGCGCTAAAAGCACAGGTTGGGCTTCTCACTGATGCCGCAGTCGCGAAGATTCTACTAGACAGGTTTGTCATGCTATTTGGAGAAATCAATTTAAAATCACTAGTAAAAGTTAATGCAAGCTACTTAGCAATGCTAGCCCTGGCACCGCAAGTCGTGCACCGCATAGACACGGTAAACATCTCAATTTGTCTAAAGTAGCCTTTTGACCAAATGATAAATGGTATCACCCTGAAATATTCTAAAACCTTGTGTGTTTATTATTACACAAATGCAACAAGCTACTTCTCCATTACATATGCAACTATGTATAAAAATAACGTATTATTAACAATGAGACATATTAGGTTAAGGACCAACGTAATAGCACTGCTTATATGTTGCCATGTAACGTAATTGCGATTTGCAAAATAGTTTCCTCAGAACGTATTTCGTGTGATACAGGGTTGTACATACCATGTCTTGAGTCCTCGGTCACTCAATCGATCAGTATAATAAGTAAATAAAACACGGAAGGGCATTTGACATATTGTCTTTTTTATTAATGTTTTTGAGTTAGTTTATAATTTGCAACATAATTGTGTAAGGCGTAATAGACGTTCCCTCTCGGGAGCAAGAGTGTTGTGTTTGTCCATGTGCATTTTTTTAAAAAAATTGGAGAGGGCAGGTCTTCTCTAAAATTCGGAAAGATCCTCCGCTATACCTATAAGTTAATTTTTCATCTCTATTTTTTGTGTTTATTTGTAAAAAAAAAACACAGATTAGACAAATCTGAAATTATTTTAATCACCAATCTGTTGTTTAACAGTTGATATAGTTCTTTATTGCTTCGCTAACTAGCAGAAACACTAGCAGGGTTTAAACCCCACTTGTGCAGTTGGGGCATTGTGGAACGGTATGCGCGTGTACATGTTTTCGACGCGTACGTTACACGTCTCATCCTGACGTCATGTGTCTTTCCGGGATCTTTCCGGGTTGTGTGAGAACGCACTCACAGATCCCAGCAAATCACTGGCAGCGTGAATGATCCGAAATCAAACAATCCCGGGACAAATGCCAGGTGACATTACCTGTATCTCTGTGTGAAAGGGGCTATAAAGTTTCTTAAGCTGCTTGGTTTAAAAATGACTTCTGTGTTAGTTGTGCTTCATACATTGCTACACTATTGACAATGGACAGCAGACCTTTTTTTGCCAGTGGAATTTTGCTGAAATTTCGCTAATGTGACCACACCTTTAGGGGGAGGAGCCACACAAGGCCATTAGAATGAAAATTTTCCAGAACTTTGACAGAGCTCTTACTGGTCTTAATGATTGGTTTACTCTAATATTTCTCTCTCTATTTGACACAAAAATAAACTCTTAAACTTAAATAAATCAGGCATACATCCTCCTCATGGTACAACCCAAATATTTTGACATTAATATATTGAATTAAAACACATCCATCCCCCTGTTATCCCAGTATGACACATTTATTTTGATATGTGGTTGGGGGAATTACAGTAGATTAATCCAAATGCAAACATGCTAACCAACACTTTGTTCGCTTGTTTGTTGATTCCATATCTGTTGTTTTCTGTTTATCAGTTGTCCTTGATTGATACAGAGGAAAGAATAAATCAAACAATCAGAAAAGACAACCTTGTATTTGTTAGTTTGGCCTGGGAATGTTGGAAAAGACATTACTGAAGCAAAAAGGGATGACTCAATGTATCACACTGATGGAAAATATGTCTCCTTTACAAACAAGTCAGAGCATTGTGCTGTAGTAAAAGAGTGCACTTGGGAACGAGGGGCTTCGCAGGATGGAATGCAGGGAATTAGGGTCGGGCAGGAGGGTGGGAGACAGGTCGGAAGGGAAGGGCGATGAAAGAATGGAATAACAACAAAAGAAAGAAAACAAAAACACTGTTGAGGAACATAAGAGGAACAGCAGCGCATTCTGCATATTCTCCTTGTCGACCTCTGTAGGAATTAATTTGTCATTCATTTTTTTCTTTCATATCCATTTTCTGCACATGCTTGTTTGACATTTGACACAATTCAAAAGGGCTATCTGTGAAATGGGGAAATGTTCGATTTTGAAAGTAATTTTTCAATTGAAGTGCTGTGTGACATGTTATACAGTTTATTAAATAAAGAAGACATATAAATTACATTGTGCCAAATTAGATCATCTCAAATAAAAATGTATCTAATCTCTTTTATTTAACCATTTATGAACATATTTACTAATACAGAGAGAAGTAAAGAAGGAATAAAAAAAATGACAGTGCCAAATAGAGGGTGTCTCTTGAAATGACCTTATAAATACCATACAAGTGCATGATAAAGTGTTTGTAGTGACCCTACACTCATAAAATAATAACAGGGACCTCAGTGAAATCAAATACTCTCCCTAATAATGGTCTTGTTGTGAATTCAGCATATGGGTGGGTGTGTTTTTGTGAGTAAGGTCACCATCAATGCTAGTACGGATGCTGAACAATAGGGCCATTAAATGGGTTAAATAAAGACAGGACATTGATTGTTTTTGGTCGGTGCTTAGTTTGGGGATCTATTACACGCTTTTGGCAAAGGATGCTTATTATTTTCACATTTCCTTTAAGGAGAGAGATACAACTCTGGGGAAAATAGATAGTGGTTCTTTATTAGGTTATGGCTCAAGTAAAAGGAGCCCGCCACATATTCTCTCTTAATAAAGAAAGAAAATTTTTTGGAGAATTGTGTATGTGTGCTTGCCCTCATGGCAGTAAATTACATGACTATTTTGGTGTCTCTCTGCAGGACGAGGTGAAAATACCTTCAAAAGTCAATGTGGCCAAGTCGATGAGGTTTCCAGAGCCTGTGGAAGGAGAAGCTGAAGGTGAACTCAAAGCAGTCGCAGAGGAAGGTGGCGAGGACAGAGAGAAAGTCAATCTGGACCTGTCCTCTGATGAAGAGGAGGTGGAGATCGAGGAGACCATTGAGGAGTCTCGAGCAGAGCGCATCAAACGGAGCAGCCTGCAACGCGTCCAGACCATCAAGACCGCTTTCTCCAAGGGAAGTATGGAAAAAACCAAGCAAAAGACCAAGGATAACTTGGAGAAGACCAAACAGAAGACCAAAGCGAACCTGGAGAAAACTCGCATTAAGACCAAAGAGAACTTTGAAAAATCCAGGCAGAAGACCAAGGAGAACCTGGAGAAGACCAAACAGAAGACCAGAGAGAATCTGGAGAAAACACGTCACAACATAGAGAAAAAGATGGGCAAACTCACCAGTCGCATGTCTGTGAACCCCGAGCGCAAGGAGAAGATGATGACCTCGCAGAAGAAGGTGGTGAAGTCTTTCACTCCGGACCACATCATCTACGCCCGCTCCAAAACGGCCGTCTACAAGGTTCCACCGTTCACCTTCCACGTGAAGAAGATCCGTGAGGGAGAATTGGAGATCCAGGGAACCGAGATGGTGGAAGTCGGCGGGGACACAGAGGAGGTGGAGAACGCAGTGATGGAGGGAGGAGAAGATGACGAGATGGAGATGGAGATGGAAGGTGGAGACATGGTTGAGGAAGATGACGAGACAGAAGACAACCCTGAGATAAGGGCGCTACTGGAGAGGGAAAACGAGCTGGTGTTGGTGGAAGACCATGACAGAGACAGCGATTAGTGTGTGTGTGTGTGTGGGAGGGGGGTGTATGCATGTATATGTGTGTGTTCGGCGCTTACACATTAGAACATTTGATGGGTGGGAATGCATAAGATAATACATTTTTAATCATGCACTGTAAAAAATATTTTCAAGATTTGTTATCAAAACATATTTTCTTTTGTCAAATCAACTTTATAATAATTTATTTAGTTGAGATAACTTATTATTTTGAGTTTCTGATGGTTAAATTAATCTACTTCATTGTATTAACTCACTTTTTCCAGTTCAATCAACTTAAAATTTTAAGGCAACCCAGGTTACTTACTTTTTTAAGTTAAACCAACAATATCTTTTTTACAGTGTAGTAATCACAACATTTTTTCTTTTTTCAAATCAACTTAAATAATTTATTTAGTTGAGATAACATATAATTTTGAGTTTCTGATGGTTAAATTAATCTCCTTCATTGTATTAACTCACTTTTTCCAGTTCAATGAACTTAAAATTTTAAGGCAACCAGGTTACTTACTTTTTTAAGTTAAACCATCAATATTTCTTACAGTGTGTTGATGAGCTGGTTCAGTTTGATATAAAGTGTCAATGCAGAAAATATGATTTCTGAAAGCACAACTCTCCTAGATTGTAATTGATAAAAAGTGAGCATCCATTTCGCCAAACCCAAATTTTTGTCCTCCCTTTTCGCCTATTAAAGTGTTGCAGTGTTCTTTGACATAGCGTAACCTCTATTGTGTAGGCGCCCTGAACATGTGAGCTGTACTGCTGATCCAGATGTTGGATGTTGCAGGAGAATGTGAATGTATCCGTTTGCATGTGTGGATTTACGTCTTTTCTAGCAGCAAAATGTTTCAAATATAAGGTGACTCCATTCACCTGATGTGCGACTGAGAGATTTACTGTACTAGATCAAGTAACTTAGTTCCTTGAGTTCACCTTGTTTGATAAGGGTAAGGGGCAGGGATTAGGCGTACTGACCAAAAAGATGATATACGGTTTCTGGAAACATTTTTATGCTAGTTGGAAAGAATGAACTGACATTTTTGACTACATGAAATAGATAGGATCAAATGAACAACAGACTTCTAGGACAGGTAGTTCTGTTGTACTAGAAGATTATTTGGTCACACTTTAAATTAGGTGGCCTTAACTACTATGCACTAACATTACCCACATGATGTTGTTTTGAAAATTTCCCACATTTCCTGCTAATAACTTTGAGGTATGGTTAGGTTTGGGAGTTAAAGGAGTAGTTTACTTTTAAAAAACCTTTTGCTGATAATTTACTCACCCCCATGTCATCCAAGATGTCCATGTCTTTCTTTCTTCAGTCTTAAGTCCAAAAGACAGTTTCAGTGCAAACTGCAGATTGTTCAAAGGGCTTTAAACGATTTCAGACTATGAATAAGGGTCTAATCAAGCGAAACGACTGCTCATAAAAAAAATAAAAATAATGGGGGTGAGTAAATTATCAGCAATTTTTTTTGTTTGTTTTTAAGTGAATTATTCCTTCAAGGCCACCTAATACAAAGTGTGACTGATTATTTTTCTTCTTATTCAAGTTTCAGAGCTACAGACTGTTCTACACTTTTCATAGAAGAAAAGTAAGAAAACCTGAAGTATTGCTTCTAAGTGCTCATTTTTACATATCTTTATATAGCTTAGAGTTTAATGAAAATTTTTACATTTCCTTAAAACAGTCTGTTATAGTCAAACTGTTACACTGTTTTTTTTTCTGTCCCAATGTGACAAATCACACAAATATTTTAAAAAAGAAGATGAAACCATTGAAACACCAAAAGAAAAAAAAATGATATGAATACACCTTTTATCCTCATAATATTTTGCATTGGTTTGCTGTCAAAATATATTGACTGAGAAGTATAATGATCTATAAAATGATCTTAGTTTCAGAATGGCATGTAGACTGCAATACTGTTTGTGTAACATTTGCACGTCCCCTGGTGGACATGTGTGGTAATGTTATAATAAAGCACAAACATATAATCATACCTACAAGCAAAAATAGGTATGAACTGCAAAAAGCTACAGCTAATGTCATCAGCACCTCCTGATCTTGAATTAAATGCGTATAATTATGAATCTCTGCTTAGAGGGCACAATCATTTCTCAGATGTTACCTACAGTACATTCTCTTAATTGCTCAGATTGTATCATTTCAGTAATTGTGTTCTGCAAAACTTCTACTTTAAGCAGCTTTTTTATTTTATTTTTTGCTTGTGTAGCTGATGAAGCATATGAATACTCTCTTGTAATGTCACACGTCTTAACCACTAATGTGTTAATAAAAGCAACCATGCTTCACATTTCTTGAGTTCTGCTTGACTGATCAAATTACATTATGAAATAAATGTTTTTCTCCAAAAACACGTTGGCACCCATTTATTAAATACTTTTTGCAATCTCCTTTTGACAAAATAACAGCTCTGAGTTTTCTCCTATAATGCCTGATGAGTTTGGAGAACACCTGACAAGATATAAGAGACCATTCCTTCCTACAGAATCTCCAGATCCATGTTGGCGCTTCTTCTCTTCAGTTCACTAAACTCATCAGGTCAGGGAACTGGGACGGTCATGGCAGAAGCTTCATTTTGTGCTCCGTAACACATTTATGTGTTGATGTTTGTTTTGGACCGTTGTCCTGATGGAAGATGCATCCACAGCCCATTATACGATTTCTAGAAGAAGCCATCATTTTTTATCTGTTGATATTTGATAGAATCCACGATGCAATGTATCTGAACAAGAAAAATATGCCCACAACATTAATGATTCAAAGGTATATTAAATTGTACACTTGGGGTACTTTTTATCCTTGTGTGTTCCAAATTTGCTGGAGTTTGTTTTTGGATGAGCGAGGAGGATTTTTCTTGAAACAACATGTGGTGAAGTAGGGTTTTATTTTTGTTTTTTTGTTTTTTTTTTGTAGGCTTCTGACCCCAATAATCAACTAATCTCAGTAATTCTCCATCTGTGATCCTTGGAGAGTCTTTGACCTCTCAAACTCTCCTCCTCACCATGCATCAACCCTAAAACCGTATTCTGGACAAATGTGGGCAAAATAGTTTTGATTTATTTTTAAAAAAAAATACTTCCCTTGATCTGAGCAGTACAAGACTTGGCTACTTTTCCTAAGTTTGCTTCCTGAACACATACAATTTTTGACTCAATTCTACAATGTTAAATGGGTGAAAAAAAACTTCCCAAAAATGGGCACCCATAGAATTGAATGGGAAAAACGTCTCAGGTTACGTATGTTCCCTGAGAGGGAACGAGAGCTGCGTTGTCAAACGCGATGGGGAACGCTCTGCGTGATTGCGTCGTGAAGCGTCTGTACAATCAGTCCAATGAGAGAGTAGGACGTCAGATGACGTCATCGACCAGGAAACTATGAAGCACCCTTGAGATCAGACCGCGACAGCTTCTGTGAAAGGCCTGAAGCAAGTCGATCAGGGCATGCAGGAAGTATGGCAGGCGAACGCAGCTCTCGTTCCCTCTCAGGGAACCAGGGTTACATACGTAACCTGAGACGTTCCCTTTCAAGGGAACTTCGAGCTGCGTTGTCAAACGCGATGGGAACCCCATACCCACTACGCCATGCTGAGAAATGCCCGTTCTGTGTGAAGTCCTTGCGCACACTAAGAAGCAAGCAACCTAGCCCCAGGAGTGGAGAGGCCAAGGTCATAAAATCTGAGAAATGTATGCAGAGAGGACATCCTGCCGCATTACAAAAATCAAGAAGGGAAACACTCGGAATAAAGGCCGTAGAGGCCGCCATACTTCTAGTAGAATGGGCCCGAACAGCCATTGGTGAAAGCTGTTCAGCCGCTTCATAAGCTAATGATATAGCCTCGACTATCCATTTGCTCATAACCTGTTTAGATGCAGGGGACTCTTTCTTGAGTGACCCAAAGCAGACAAATAATTGTTCAAAGTTACGCCACAGGGCAGCTCTGTGAACGTAGGCATCTAATGCCCGAACTGGACATAACAGGTTCAGTCGTTCCTGATCTGGGGGTATTAAAAGGTGGAGGATAAAAGGCCTGCAGCACTATAAGGCCCCCAAAAAATGAACTGGGACCTAAGGAGTATAACCCGGTCTAGGGTATAGAAATGCTTTCACCATACCCGGTGCAGATTCCAGGCATAAAGGAGCAACCGACAGGGCATGCAAATCTCCTAATCTCCGGTAAATGAAACCGCAAAGAGAAATGTTCTCAAAGTAAGGAATTTTTCTGAAACCTCTTCAATGGGCTCAAAGGGAGCCAAAGCCAGACCCTCAAGTACAATGGCCAAATCCCAAGCCGGTGCTCTAAGTGCAGTGCAGGTTTCAACCTCATGTACCACAGAGAAAAACTAGTAATTAGAGGATCTCTCCCGATAGAAGTACCCCACAGAGGGGTGTGGTAGGCCGATATAGCCGCCACGTAAACCTTTAAGGTAGAAGGAGATAATCCAGCAGAGAAACGGTCTTGCAAGAAATCAAGAACTGTACCAACAGGGCAGTTAACAGGATCTTGGTGATGTTCGCCACACCAGATGGAGAATAATTTCCATTTCAATGCATATAGTTTCTCTCATGGAAGGAGCTCTGGATTGGAGAATGGTCTCAACGACCTCAGTCGAGAGACGGGATTCTATGAGCCGGGCCCCCTCAGAGGCCAAGCCACAGTATCCAAACTCCAAATGAGGGTGAACTCCCAGGAGCAAAGATATCGGGAAATGCGTACCGGTGTAGTGTTAACCACACCTAATACATCACATCCAGTCCAAGCAGAGCTGGATGTGTGAGGGAGAACCAAATAGAGTAATGCGTTGTACCAACGATGTGAAATGTCGACTGACTTTAGTTTGACTTTAGTTCTCCCTAAGAAACTCCACCACCTCGGGGGTGAGTCTCCATTCCCTGGGCCTCAGCCCCTGCCTCAACAGGATATCTGCTCCGATATACGAGACCATCAGTGTTTTATCCGAAAGGACAAACACATAGTGACCTCTAGGGTCTGGCAGGAAGTATTGAGATTTTCGGGAAAACCGCCATCACTTTTAGCCAATTATGTGCTGCCGAGCAACCACTCATGATCACCCCCATCT